GAGGACCCCTCCCTCGACCGAGCCCTCTCCGAGGACCCCTCCCTCGACCGAGCCCTCTCCGAGGACCCCTCCCTCGACCGAGCCCTCTCCGAGGACCCCTCCCTCGACCGAGCCCTCTCCGAGGACCCCTCCCTCGACCGAGCCCTCTCCGAGGACCCCTCCCTCGACCGAGCCCTCTCCGAGGACCCCTCCCTCGACCGAGCCCTCTCCGAGGACCCCTCCCTCGACCGAGCCCTCTCCGAGGACCCCTCCCTCGACCGAGCCCTCTCCGAGGACCCCTCCCTCGACCGAGCCCTCTCCGAGGACCCCTCCCTCGACCGAGCCCTCTCCGAGGACCCCTCCCTCGACCGAGCCCTCTCCGAGGACCCCTCCCTCGACCGAGCCCTCTCCGAGGACCCCTCCCTCGACCGAGCCCTCTCCGAGGACCCCTCCCTCGACCGAGCCCTCTCCGAGGACCCCTCCCTCGACCGAGCCCTCTCCGAGGACCCCTCCCTCGACCGAGCCCTCTCCGAGGACCCCTCCCTCGACCGAGCCCTCTCCGAGGACCCCTCCCTCGACCGAGCCCTCTCCGAGGACCCCTCCCTCGACCGAGCCCTCTCCGAGGACCCCTCCCTCGACCGAGCCCTCTCCGAGGACCCCTCCCTCGACCGAGCCCTCTCCGAGGACCCCTCCCTCGACCGAGCCCTCTCCGAGGACCCCTCCCTCGACCGAGCCCTCTCCGAGGACCCCTCCCTCGACCGAGCCCTCTCCGAGGACTCCCTCGACCGAGCCCTCTCCGAGGACCCCTCCCTCGACCGAGCCCTCTCCGAGGACCCCTCCCTCGACCGAGCCCTCTCCGAGGACCCCTCCCTCGACCGAGCCCTCTCCGAGGACCCCTCCCTCGACCGAGCCCTCTCCGAGGACCCCTCCCTCGACCGAGCCCTCTCCGAGGACCCCTCCCTCGACCGAGCCCTCTCCGAGGACCCCTCCCTCGACCGAGCCCTCTCCGAGGACCCCTCCCTCGACCGAGCCCTCTCCGAGGACCCCTCCCTCGACCGAGCCCTCTCCGAGGACCCCTCCCTCGACCGAGCCCTCTCCGAGGACCCCTCCCTCGACCGAGCCCTCTCCGAGGACCCCTCCCTCGACCGAGCCCTCTCCGAGGACCCCTCCCTCGACCGAGCCCTCTCCGAGGACCCCTCCCTCGACCGAGCCCTCTCCGAGGACCCCTCCCTCGACCGAGCCCTCTCCGAGGACCCCTCCCTCGACCGAGCCCTCTCCGAGGACCCCTCCCTCGACCGAGCCCTCTCCGAGGACCCCTCCCTCGACCGAGCCCTCTCCGAGGACCCCTCCCTCGACCGAGCCCTCTCCGTGGACCCCTCCCTCGACCGAGCCCTCTCCGTGGACCCCTCCCTCGACCGAGCCCTCTCCGTGGACCCCTCCCTCGACCGAGCCCTCTCCGTGGACCCCTCCCTCGACCGAGCCCTCTCCGTGGACCCCTCCCTCGACCGAGCCCTCTCCGTGGACCCCTCCTCGACCGAGCCCTCTCCGTGGACCCCTCCCTCGACCGAGCCCTCTCCGTGGACCCCTCCCTCGACCGAGCCCTCTCCGTGGACCCCTCCCTCGACCGAGCCCTCTCCGTGGACCCCTCCCTCGACCGAGCCCTCTCCGTGGACCCCTCCCTCGACCGAGCCCTCTCCGTGGACCCCTCCCTCGACCGAGCCCTCTCCGTGGACCCCTCCCTCGACCGAGCCCTCTCCGTGGACCCCTCCCTCGACCGAGCCCTCTCCGTGGACCCCTCCCTCGACCGAGCCCTCTCCGTGGACCCCTCCCTCGACCGAGCCCTCTCCGTGGACCCCTCCCTCGACCGAGCCCTCTCCGTGGACCCCTCCCTCGACCGAGCCCTCTCCGTGGACCCCTCCCTCGACCGAGCCCTCTCCGTGGACCCCTCCCTCGACCGAGCCCTCTCCGTGGACCCCTCCCTCGACCGAGCCCTCTCCGTGGACCCCTCCCTCGACCGAGCCCTCTCCGTGGACCCCTCCCTCGACCGAGCCCTCTCCGTGGACCCCTCCCTCGACCGAGCCCTCTCCGTGGACCCCTCCCTCGACCGAGCCCTCTCCGTGGACCCCTCCCTCGACCGAGCCCTCTCCGTGGACCCCTCCCTCGACCGAGCCCTCTCCGTGGACCCCTCCCTCGACCGAGCCCTCTCCGTGGACCCCTCCCTCGACCGAGCCCTCTCCGTGGACCCCTCCCTCGACCGAGCCCTCTCCGTGGACCCCTCCCTCGACCGAGCCCTCTCCGTGGACCCCTCCCTCGACCGAGCCCTCTCCGTGGACCCCTCCCTCGACCGAGCCCTCTCCGTGGACCCCTCCCTCGACCGAGCCCTCTCCGTGGACCCCTCCCTCGACCGAGCCCTCTCCGTGGACCCCTCCCTCGACCGAGCCCTCTCCGTGGACCCCTCCCTCGACCGAGCCCTCTCCGTGGACCCCTCCCTCGACCGAGCCCTCTCCGTGGACCCCTCCCTCGACCGAGCCCTCTCCGTGGACCCCTCCCTCGACCGAGCCCTCTCCGTGGACCCCTCCCTCGACCGAGCCCTCTCCGTGGACCCCTCCCTCGACCGAGCCCTCTCCGTGGACCCCTCCCTCGACCGAGCCCTCTCCGTGGACCCCTCCCTCGACCGAGCCCTCTCCGTGGACCCCTCCCTCGACCGAGCCCTCTCCGTGGACCCCTCCCTCGACCGAGCCCTCTCCGTGGACCCCTCCCTCGACCGAGCCCTCTCCGTGGACCCCTCCCTCGACCGAGCCCTCTCCGTGGACCCCTCCCTCGACCGAGCCCTCTCCGTGGACCCCTCCCTCGACCGAGCCCTCTCCGTGGACCCCTCCCTCGACCGAGCCCTCTCCGTGGACCCCTCCCTCGACCGAGCCCTCTCCGTGGACCCCTCCCTCGACCGAGCCCTCTCCGTGGACCCCTCCCTCGACCGAGCCCTCTCCGTGGACCCCTCCCTCGACCGAGCCCTCTCCGTGGACCCCTCCCTCGACCGAGCCCTCTCCGTGGACCCCTCCCTCGACCGAGCCCTCTCCGTGGACCCCTCCCTCGACCGAGCCCTCTCCGTGGACCCCTCCCTCGACCGAGCCCTCTCCGTGGACCCCTCCCTCGACCGAGCCCTCTCCGTGGACCCCTCCCTCGACCGAGCCCTCTCCGTGGACCCCTCCCTCGACCGAGCCCTCTCCGTGGACCCCTCCCTCGACCGAGCCCTCTCCGTGGACCCCTCCCTCGACCGAGCCCTCTCCGTGGACCCCTCCCTCGACCGAGCCCTCTCCGTGGACCCCTCCCTCGACCGAGCCCTCTCCGTGGACCCCTCCCTCGACCGAGCCCTCTCCGTGGACCCCTCCCTCGACCGAGCCCTCTCCGTGGACCCCTCCCTCGACCGAGCCCTCTCCGTGGACCCCTCCCTCGACCGAGCCCTCTCCGTGGACCCCTCCCTCGACCGAGCCCTCTCCGTGGACCCCTCCCTCGACCGAGCCCTCTCCGTGGACCCCTCCCTCGACCGAGCCCTCTCCGTGGACCCCGCCCTCGACCGAGCCCTCTCCGTGGACCCCGCCCTCTCCCTCGACCGAGCCCTCTCCGTGGACCCCGCCCTCTCCCTCGACCGAGCCCTCTCCCAGGACCTCTCCCTCTCCCACGACCGAGCCCTCTCCCTGGACCCCTCCCACGACCGAGCCCTCTCCCAGGACCCCTCCCACGACCGAGCCCTCTCCCTGGACCCCTCCCACGACCGAGCCCTCTCCCTGGACCCCTCCCACGACCGAGCCCTCTCCCTGGACCCCTCCCACGACCGAGCCCTCTCCCTGGACCCCTCCCACGACCGAGCCCTCTCCCTGGACCCCTCCCACGACCGAGCCCTCTCCCTGGACCCCTCCCACGACCGAGCCCTCTCCCTGGACCCCTCCCACGACCGAGCCCTCTCCTAGCCCCGCTCACTCGCCCATTATATCTCCTAGGGTCGCGATATCTACTAGGACCGAGACTGCCTCCACGCCCTATGAGAGGTTCGAGCCCTGTCCTAGGACTGCGACCTCACCCAAGCCATGTCCCAAGACCGATCTTTGTCCTTCGACCGAGTCTTTCCCCGTTACATGTCCTTCGACCGAGCCCTCTCCCAGGACCCCACCCACGACCGAGCCTTCTCCCAGGACCGCTCCCTCGACCGAGCCCTCTCCCTGGACCCCTCCCTCTCCCTCGACCGAGCCCTCTCCCTCGACCGAGCCCTCTCCCTGGACCCCTCCCTCTCCCTCGACCGAGCCCTCTCCCTGGACCCCTCCCTCGACCGAGCCCTCTCCCTGGACCCCTCCCTCGACCGAGCCCTCTCCCTGGACCCCTCCCTCTCCCTCGACCGAGCCCTCTCCCTGGACCCCTCCCTCGACCGAGCCCTCTCCCTGGACCCCTCCCTCGACCGAGCCCTCTCCCTGGACCACTCCCTCTCCCTCGACCGAGCCCTCTCTCTGGACCACTCCCTCTCCCTCGACCTCGACCGAGCCCTCTCCGAGGACCACTCCCTCTCCGTCGACCGAGCCCTCTCCCTGGACCACTCCCTCTCCCTCGACCGAGCCCTCTCTCTGGACCACTCCCTCTCCCTCGACCGAGCCCTCTCCGAGGACCACTCCCTCTCCGTCGACCGAGCCCTCTCCGAGGACCACTCCCTCTCCCTCGACCGAGCCCTCTCCGAGGACCACTCCCTCTCCCTCGACCGAGCCCTCTCCGAGGACCACTCCCTCGACCGAGCCCTCTCCATGGACCCCTCCCACTCCCTCGACCGAGCCCTCTCCCAGGACCCCGCTCTCGACCGAGCCCTCTCCTAGCCCCGCTCACTCACCCGTTATATCTCCTAGGGTCGCGATATCTACTAGGACCGAGACTGCCTTCACGCCCTATGAGAGGTTCGAGCCCTGTCCTAGGACTGAGACCTCACCCGAGCCATGTCCTAAGACCGATCTTTGTCCTTCGACCGAGTCTTTCCCCGTTACATGTCCTTCGACCGAGCCCTCTCCCAGGACCCCGCCCACGACCGAGCCCTCTCCCTGGACCCCGCCCACGACCGAGCCTTCTCCCTGGACCCCGCCCACGACCGAGCCTTCTCCCTGGACCCCGCCCACGACCGAGCCTTCTCCCTGGACCCCGCCCACGACCGAGCCTTCTCCCTGGACCCCGCCCACGACCGAGCCTTCTCCCTGGACCCCGCCCACGACCGAGCCTTCTCCCTGGACCCCGCCCACGACCGAGCCTTCTCCCTGGACCCCGCCCACGACCGAGCCTTCTCCCTGGACCCCGCCCACGACCGAGCCTTCTCCCTGGACCCCGCCCACGACCGAGCCTTCTCCCTGGACCCCGCCCACGACCGAGCCTTCTCCCTGGACCCCGCCCACGACCGAGCCTTCTCCCTGGACCCCGCCCACGACCGAGCCTTCTCCTGGACCCCGCCCACGACCGAGCCTTCTCCCAGGACCCCGCCCACGACCGAGCCTTCTCCCAGGACCCCGCCCACGACCGAGCCTTCTCCTAGTACCCCTCCCACGACCGAGCCTTCTCGAAGGACCCCGCCCACGACCGAGCCCTCTCCCAGGACCGAGCCCTCTCCCAGGACCCCGCCCACGACCGAGCCCTCTCCCTCGACCGAGCCCTCTCCCTGGACCTCTCCCTCGACCGAGCCCTCTCCCTGGACCTCTCCCTCGACCGAGCCCTCTCCCTGGACCCCTCCCTCGACCGAGCCCTCTCCCTGGACCCCTCCCTCCCCCTCGACCGAGCCCTCCCCCTGGACCCCTCCCTCTCCCTCGACCGAGCCTTCTCCCTGGACCCCTCCCTCTCCCTGGACCTCTCCCTCTCCCTCAACCGAGCCCTCTCCCTGGACCCCTCCCTCTCCCTCGACCGAGCCCTCTCCCTGGACCCCTCCCTCTCCCTCGACCGAGCCCTCTCCCCGGACCACTCCCTCTCCCTCGACTGAGTCTTCTCCCAGGACCCCGCCCTCGACCGAGCCCTCTCCGTGACCGAGCCCCTCCCCTGGACTCCCTCGACCGAGCCCTCTCCGTGGACCCCTCCCACTCCCTCGACCGAGCCCTCTCCCTGGACCCCTCCCTCTCTCTCGACCGAGCCCTCTCCCTGGACCCCTCCCTCGACCGAGCCCTCTCCATGGACCCCTCCCACTCCCTCGACCGAGCCCTCTCCCTGGATCCCTCCCTCTCCCACGACCGAGCCTTCTCCCTGGACCCCGTCCACGACCGAGCCCTCTCCTAGCTCCGCTCACTCCCCCGTTATATCTCCTAGGGTCGCGATATCTACTAGGACCGAGACTGCCTCCACGCCCTATGAGAGGTTCGAGCCCTGTCCTAGGACTGAGACCTCACCCGAGCCATGTCCTAAGACCGATCTTTGTCCTTCGACCGAGTTTTTCCCCGTTACATGTCCTTCGACCGAGCCCTCTCCCAGGACCCCACCCACGACCGAGCCTTCTCCCTGGACCCCGCCCACGACCGAGCCTTCTCCCTCGACCGAGCCCTCTCTCAGGACCCCGCCCTCGACCGAGCTTTTTCCCTCGATCGAGCCCTCTCCGAGGACCCCTCCCTCTCCCTCGATCGAGCCCTCTCCCAGGACCCCACCCACGACCGAGCCCTCTCCCAGGACCCCACCCACGACCGAGCCCTCTCCCAGGACCCCACCCACGACTGAGCCCTCTCCCAGGACCGCTCCCTCGACCGAGACTTCTAGTACCCCTCCCTCGACCGAGCCTTCCCCCAGGACCCTGCCCACGACCGAGCCTTCTCCCAGGACCCCGCCCACGACCGAGCCTTCTCCCAGGACCCCGCCCAGGCCCTCTCCCAGGCCCGAGCCCTCTCCCAGGCCCGAGCCCTCTCCCAGGACCGAGCCTTCTCCCAGGCCCGAGCCTTCTCCCAGGCCCGAGCCTTCTCCCAGGCCCGAGCCGAGCCCTCTCCCAGGCCCGAGCCCTCTCCCAGGCCCGAGCCCTCTCCCAGGCCCGAGCCCTCTCCCAGGCCCGAGCCCTCTCCCAGGCCCGAGCCCTCTCCCAGGCCCGAGCCTCTCCAGGCCCGAGCCCTCTCCAGGCCCGAGCCCTCTCCCAGGCCCGAGCCCTCTCCCAGGCCCGAGCCCTCTCCCAGGCCCGAGCCCTCTCCCAGGCCCGAGCCCTCTCCCAGGCCCGAGCCCTCTCCCAGCCCGAGCCCTCTCCCAGGCCCGAGCCCTCTCCCAGGCCCGAGCCCTCTCCCAGGCCCGAGCCCTCTCCCAGGCCCGAGCCCTCTCCCAGGCCCGAGCCCTCTCCCAGGCCCGAGCCCTCTCCCAGGCCCGAGCCCTCTCCCAGGCCCGAGCCCTCTCCCAGGCCCGAGCCCTCTCCCAGGCCCGAGCCCTCTCCCAGGCCCGAGCCCTCTCCCAGGCCCGAGCCCTCTCCCAGGCCCGAGCCCTCTCCCAGGCCCGAGCCCTCTCCCAGGACCGAGCCCGTCTCCACACCTTCGTCTAAGACGGTGTCCATTCCCACAGCTTCGCCCGAGCCCACGCCTAGCCTCGATCCCTTGACCGCGATATCGCCTAGGGTCGCGATGTCTCCTAGGACCGAGCCCTGTCCTAGAACTGATCCCTCCCCTGAGCCATGTCCTAGCGCCGATCCGTGTCCTTCGACCGAGCCCTCAGCAGCGTCATGTCCTAGCACCGAGCCCTCAACCACGCCGCCTGTGATCTTGCTGTCGACCGAGCCCTCGCTCCCCCCCTCACCTGCTCCACCGTCGTCTGGGACGACACTGAGACACGGTTCCTGCGACACCATCCCGCCTCGGTACTACGAGGACCCCAAGCGGCTGCTCATGGCGATCCGCAAGTTAAAGTTTTCTAAAAAGTACCTCCAGTCAATTCAGTCCACCTGGCCATGGCTGGTGTCAACTGGTCCAGTAGTGGAGGACACGGAGGTTGCAAGCAACCTCTTGCAGGTGAGTGCAAGTGTGCACAATACGGTGCAGGAGCTGGTTCGAAACCCTTTGGCAACCGTGGAAGGAATGGATGTCAAGGTGCTGGAGGTTGAGGTCCGTGATTTTGCTATTGGAATTGCCTTTGGTTCGGCGGCTGGATTCGTCTTCCCCGAAGAATTGATTAGAATCCTTAGCAAGCTGAAGCATCTCGTTCCTGTGGGGTTGAAGATGGTGGAAGTGTCCTTGGCGTGCCTTGAGGCGAAGTGGCAACAATTCTTATATTCCTATAGTTTAGACGGGACATTTTATGTTGGCACTAGTCCCTCGGCCTCGTCGAAGCCTCCGTATGGCACTGACACTCCCACCACGTCAACAGAACGACGGAGTTACATCCTTCCCAACATCACAAGGCCAGGACCTGCACATGTTCAAAACATCACTACATCAGCAGAACCTACGTACATCCCTGCTACATCACAGCAACCTGGACCGATCCTGGGCGACAATACCACAGCCACAGGAACCGGTTATGCCCTCACAGAAGGCACAGCCACGGAGCCTGACTCCACGGAGGTGTTAGTGGACACCCGCGACCTTTCCCCCAGCACGGTGGAGCCTCGCCTGAGGGGAAACGTGACCACAGGGTCCTGGGTGGAGGGGCGTGTCTGTGGTTACAACCTGGAAGATCTTCTTCAATCTTCATTTGTTATTGGATCATCCAGACGCCAGCTTCACTATATCGGTAAGTGTCAAGCTGGCAACCGTCAAGCTCAGTCTCGTCCTTATACGCGTCAAGTATCTAACAGTTGACACATTATTTTACTCCATCTTCCGCCTTGATATCGCTCAAGCCTTGAGCGAGCCTTGATCTTCTACTTATCTCTAGCCCTTGGCATAGGCTTCTTCCCTTCCCATGTCTTCTACTCCCTCCCCCTTCCTTTTCCTCTTACCCACATGGAAAGGTTGATCCAAATGTCTGTGACGTCTTAGTGCATGGCCACAGTGGGAATTTGCCAGGGGTCCCCACGATTCTAAGGGGCCCTATGCTGCTAAATTCTTGACGAGCCATCTCGTATCAGAGTGGATAATTACTCGACCTCGTGATGGAAAGGTCTGCAATTCGAATCCCTTTAAATATATTTATAATATAGTTTGTGTGTAACTATCTGAGAGTTCAGTCTGCACTTCAGTGTCAAGACGGCCTTTGACAAGTTTAGTATAGAACCAACATTGAAAATTTACTTACATTAGGCAGATTTAAATTTTGTCGATTATCCAATTGCCTAAAAAATAGGACACGAGAGAAATTTGTCTTTGATAGAGTAAACAATTTTTTTTTTATAGTTTTCAAACTATTTGTAAGCTCATGAGCAATTTCCTTTTTTACTTATTCTTGATTTTTGTTTTTCTTCAGTGACAAATATGGCCAATATTAGAAACATCATTTTCAAGTCTGTGGTGAGAGTTTGGGAGGTGCAGGGACTGTCTGTCTGGCGTGTGGAGAAGCAAGGGGTCGCCCTCAACGCCTCCATCGTCCCCTCGCTGACCTTCGCCCGCTCGGTCAAAGTCAGTTGGTTTTTCTGTTTAACCATTTGAGAAAATCTTGTGGCAATGGGTGCTGAGAGAACTTCCCCACTCTGTGGGCCATCAAAATCATTCCCATAATGTTATTTTATACGTAATTCTGTTTCATTGTGCATTGTATTTTGGACATTAAATTTGTCTTTAGACAAGTCAAAGTTACAAGTAAAGACCAGGTCATCTTCAATGGTCTTTACTTGTAATGTCTTTGACACGATTTATTTACAATTTTGCCAAATGTTTCTGACCGGCAAGGACACGAGACTAAGACTGGTTCAAGCAGGCAAGCCGATACTGAGGTGATCTAAATAATTTCAGGCTCTTCGAACTTGACTCGGTCTAATCGCTATCAATTCATTGCATAGAATGTACGCTCCCTTAGTCCACTAAAAAGATAAGACCACCAAGACTATTGAACACCACAACAGTTGATCACTATTACTTGATATCCCACAAGGTCCTGAGACCAAACACAAAACTTTCCTTCAAATTTGTTTAAAACGCATTGTTTATCATCCTGGTGGACTCTAAAGCTGTTTTAGTAGGAATTTTGACGTTTGACAAGTCAAACGTTTGAAAGTCAGAAATTTCTTCCCTAAATGTGCTGAATGTATTAACCCTATTTGGTCTAGTTTTCTGAATTGAGTGTAACCGTATTTTGTTTAATCAAAATTTGAATGTTTGAGGAGCTTTGTCTATGGAAAATACCCACAAAAAGACTTTGTTAAAAGTACATAAACATCTTAGCAGCATCGGTGGATAATTAACAACATTGTAAACCGTGGTAAGTTTCTTAAAGAAAGGTCGTGAACGCAAAAAAACGCTTCCCCATACTTTGTCATATTATGAATTTCTCCCAAATAACGCGCTATATAATATGGGGGTATGTTAAATATATCGTGTAGATCATACAATATAATCAATGTCAGAGTTAAAACGTTACCACATACAGTGCCAAAGGTATTCAAATATGTTTCAAATATATTTCACATGACTAAATTAAGCTAGACCAGTCCAAGTATATTGCGTATGATAATTTGACCTAAACTCTGGCTGGTTAGGTACAAGAGCAACTTAATGGCTCTAAATTAGTACAAATGCATCATTGTGATGCCGCAACGCTGGAAATGTAAACAAAAATTACTTTAGAAATGCTAGAGATATGAAAATGTAATTGGAAATCGGCCATTTAATTGTATTCGATATTTTATTTAAGATATTAATAATTGTGAATTAATGTTAGTAATATATTGATCAACAGGTGAGTGGGGACGTGAAGGCTAAGGTCATCAATGGTGTTCCCAGCACCTCCTACCTCACTCTCCACGGCACTCATCGCCTCCCTCGCCCTCTGACCTTCACGGTGAGTGCTTTATCCTGACCTTCACAGTGAGTGCTTTAACCTGACCTTTGTGGTGTGAGTGCTTTAACCTGACCTTTGTGGTGTGAGTGCTTTAACCTGACCTTTGTGGTGTGAGTGCTTTAACCTGACCTTTGTGGTGTGAGTGCTTTAACCTGACCTTCATGGTGAGTGCTTTAACCTGACCTTTGTGGTGTGAGTGCTTCCTCTTGACCTTCACAGTGAGTGCTTTAACCTGACCTTTGTGGTGTGAGTGCTTCCTCCTGACCTTCACAGTGAGTGCTGCTCGTGCCTCGTGCACGCACACACACACACACACACACACACTAAGGTCGCCTTCAAAATACGAAAAACGTACAACAAACTCGTACTAAAGTGATTATTTATCCCTCTTAGTAATACTAACATAACCCAATATACGTGGTGAGAATAGAGCATTCTGATACTGTAAATGACAATACCTCCACCGTATGCCAAGTGGTATCACCTCTAGCTGGAAAAGGGGACCCATAGCGTCTTGAGAAAAACTACAAAAGCATTAGAGGAATTTTTGTGTTGGTCCCCACTAACGAATTTTTGTGTTGGTCCCCACTAACGAATTTTTGTGTTGGTCCTCACTAACGAATTTTTGTGTTGGTCCCCACTAACGAATTTTTGTGTTGGTCCCCACTAACGAATTTTTGTGTTGGTCCCCACTAACGAATTTTTGTGTTGGTCCCCACTAACGAATTTTTGTGTTGGTCCCCACTAACGAATTTTTGTGTTGGTCCCCATTAACGAATTTTTGTGTTGGTCCCCATTAACGCAGTTTAAAGTTAAGATGTATTCGTGACGCTGCAATGGTAATGAACCGTTCTTTGGAGCCGAGAACGGGGGGGTATATAAGACTACTTTCCCTGTAGAGTGTGGCGGTGGTAGGGCGCGTGAGGGTGTTGGAGGAGGTGAATGACCTGGACCTGGTGGTTTGGAGCGGCAGTGTAGTGGTGACCACCTCGGCTGCGTCCCTACTGTGTGTGTCGGACGTCTCCTTCAGCCACGTGGTCGCCCTCAGGTTAGTCACTGGCTGCTGGTTTGATGCCCCTTCTCTCCTTAGTAATGCTCACCCCTTCTGAGCCAAAAGTAATCGGTTGAAGTTGGGAGCTGTGTGGGAGAGGCATGGGGGGGGGGGGGAAGTTACAGAAAATGTCCTATACAAGCAAATTATGTTAAACCAACCTCGCCTACATTAACAGCTCGCCCTCGTGTATTCTGAGCGTATGGACTGTATTTTTCACCAATTTGGTTTACCAAAGCTACTCAAAACTGTGTGAATTGACAATTATCATGTTAATTATATTGTTAATACGCCGTTGATTTTTCAACTGTCGCTGTACCGTTGTTACAGTGTGGTGAGCGAGACGGTACGGGTGGCTGGGACGTCGCTACAGGACCTCGTACTTCTTAATGAAACTGCTGTAATTACAGGTGTGTGCTTGGGGTAACTGCAATGTTCTTGGTAAGGTATCCAGCTAGGGATAAAGGTTCCATACTGCGTGTGAAGTAGTTGTCTAGACGTGTGTTAGTTTATTTATATACCACCAATACGTATTGTGGGCGGTAGGTGGACGCCATACCCATCCTGTGAGTAAAAGTTTGCAGAGGTTCTTAATGGGCTTAGGAACTCAACCCAAAAATTTAGTTAAATAAGCAATTTAAGTTTAGTTTCATGGTTTAACACGGTCTTGGAGCGCATTCTAGGCTCTGACAATAGAACTCCGACGATAGTTGAGCAAAGTTGCAACCTTGTTGTTATTAATGACGTAAATTGTGCCATTTTACCTTGTCGTAAACAATCGACATCCGCATGCTAATATTAGCCACTATTTTCCCTATTTATGAAAAGTAATACAACTTAAAATCCGGAGGTGTGGATATTATGTTAATAATTAACCGTGGCTGAGACAGTGTCCATTTTATATTGAAGACAAATTAAGATTTTATTTTTAGGTAATTTGTATATAATTTTTTTGCGTGTACAGGGAAGAAGAGGTTCCTGGAAGAAGTGGTGGTGAGGGAGGGCGAGGTGAGGACAGGCGCCCTCACAGTACACAGAGTTAGCAACATCAGTCTCGCCACTCTCTTCCTCCACTCCCTCAGGAAGAACTCAGGTGAAAGGAAGTTTGTCTTCTGGTTCAGCAGTGTTTGTCTGAAGGGGCGGACGGCATGCGAGGTTCTTGTGGGGTGTGCATGGAGGGGGCAATGTCTGTGTGGGTATATATTAATATCTACAATGCCTCCATTATTGAGATAAGAGGCACAGTTCGAGCAAGTGCTCAGAGTCGTGGCGGCCCCATGAGGCAGTAGTGTGGGATTTTGTTCCATCCGCTATGGCTGAACCTATTAATTTTGTGAACCATGAAGACTTATCCCCTCTGGTTTGACTTTTTAAAATAGTTTCCTAGAACAAATCCTAGTGTAGTGTAAAGTTTGCTAGCATATTTTAAATGACTTTGTAACTTGATGCGTTACTTGATTCTATATTAGCGAACCATTGTAAAGTCTTTTGCTCTCGTGTATTCATTCTCATTCCTTTATTTTGGCGGGACTGGTTTGTATCATACTTTATTTACGATATTTGTACAGTAACGGATATACTATCTTTAATCTAGCATTAATTTGACGTAGTTATTTATTAAAATCTCTTGTTTATACAAAGCATATTATCGCAATAAAACAAAACACAAGTATTCTTTTCATAAAAATTTGAATGTGATTCTTAGGCTGATAATGAAGTCTGTGAGCCAAGCCGACGTCGCAAATTGCTCCATGTCGTATCTTTAGGTATTCATAACCTTGAAGTTATTGGCGTGTATTTTCAACCTCAGGTGGTGTCCAGGTGGTGTCTGGGAGCCACGTGTTGGACCAGCTGGTGGTGAAGCATGACCTAGTTACACGGGGACTCTCCTCCCTCAGTGACAGAGGTCACCTGCCCTTCTTGAACTTAACCAAGTAAGCTGGCATATCCGTTCTCTTGCATCTTATGATTTGAGAGCTATACACTTTATCCTATTAAAATGTTACTCTAACTGGAGCACATTTCGGTTGTGCTAAAGTTGATTGACGGTTGAGAGGCGGGACCAAAGAGCCAAAGCTCAACCCCCGCAAGCACAACTACGTGAGTACAGTGTGTTACACCCCAACACTGAAAGTGTGGGGGTGGAGGCTGAAGTGTTTGTGTACGTTCTTCCTTCCAATCTGATTCAAACTTTCTTTAAACTGCTTATGCAATTTGTATCGAATTTGTATCACTTTAAAAAGACTAGTTTTCTTTAACTATCCAAAACATTGCGATGTAGTTTTAATAGTTTCTAGAAACTAAATTAAACTAGCCAAAAAATCATGAATTTGTTCACTAGGTTTCCAAGATTAAGCTATTAAGTTATCTCGCCAGTAGTTACGAGTAAACCTTCCTAAAGGTCGAGGAGGTAAACTGTATACTTAACAGGACGGCAGGACGCGTGGTACTCCTGGACCAGACTGCTACCATCACCGGAGGACTACTCCTGAGGGGCTCAGTCTCTCTCTCCTTCCTCACCTTCCTTGGTAAGTCCTTCCTTCCTTCCTTCCTTCCTTAGTGGGATAGTGTTGTCTTCCTTGTAAAGTCTTCCTTGTTGACGTTCTTAAGACCTTTGATAACTCCTTTTCGTTAATCATGTCAATCGACTTAATTGTTCATATTTCCGACTATGATATTCACTGTTTGGTTAGTGACCAGGGGCCAGATTTAAGAAGCAGTTACGTAAGTACTTACGGACGTGTACATCTTTCCTCAATCTTTGACGACTTTGGTTACATTTATTAAACAGTTTACAAGCATGAAAACTTGCTAATCAACTGTTGTTATTGTTATAAACAGCCTCCTGGTGCTTCGGAGCTCATTAACTGTTTATTGTAAACAAAGCCGCCAAAGATTGAAAAAAGACGTACAGGTTCGTAAGTGCTGGTGTGACTGCTTCGTGAATCTGGCCCCAGAACTATTTTGATTAATTTCATGATTCCTGCTAGAATTTCCTTGGCCAAATTGCCTTGCTTGTTTAGTTCGTAATACCATAAACAGGAACATTTTCTGACTTAAATATTATCCCAAATATGGAACCAAAAACCCATTCTCCTGAACTTGATTACCTCATTCCAAACTTGCCTTGTATTGAAGCCATCATTGCCAGTTCCACAGTACCAGCATTTTCTCTCCAACAGTGGTACCAGTGATATCGTACGACAGACAGGCTGAGGTACGGGAGAGGGAGGGAGGGAGGGAGGGGGGGGTGGGGGCTGATATGCTACAAGATATCATGTGAGCCGTAGCGCAAAAAGGATTAAGAGAGCACGAAAGGCCCCGATCAGACCTCTGCGTTTTTTCCCCAATTTCACCTGAGTTCTGTGAAGATTTGATGAAATTGTGTATGTAAAAAAATACCCGCAGAGATCTGAGTAAGAATATATCGTCTTTTATCTAAAGTATCGGGAGTTATCGACTCCTGAAACAAGTCGGTGAGCGAGGGGCAGGGAAGACACAGGTGGTTAAGCTACGGAAAAAAGTATCTTTGTTTTTGGTCCTTTCATTTCTCCACTACAGATACTTTTGATAAGGTGCCGGCTGCTCGATATAGAGATGGGTGGCTACTGAAGTCTTCCAACCAGACCATATCAGGTCAGATGACTTTAGCCAGCATGACCTCGGGTCACGTTATGACCTCGGACGGAGTCGAGGTGCAAGGAGTCAACCTCGCTCACTTTAAGAATATTACTGCAATGGTTGATGTGTCGACGCTTCTCACATCTCCACTCACGTTCAGTAAGTTCTCAAGCGTATTCCTCTTTGTGCTTCGTTTGAGACGTTTACGAAAATTTTAAAGTGGAGCTTTTGTGAATTGAAACTACGTATATGCTTTCCAGTTTAAAGTTACATTATTTACTGTTTACATTATAGACGTATCGACAAAACTTGCTTGAATTGGTAAAGTTGAATTTACAAGATATGAATATATTTTTTTATCTTATATTAACACATGTATTTGTGTTTTTAAATTACATCTAAAGTAAATATGAATAGTTAAGTGGACGATCTGTCCACTTGCTGCACGATCTGTCCACTTGCTGCACTGTGGCGGTCCGACAATCAACTCTTGTATACTGATTCCTTCATTCTGTAAATTGCTCTTCGGTGAAGTAATAACTAGTAACTTTTGTCTTCCAGCTGAGTTGGTGTCAATGAGGTGGGTGAGTGTATCAGGGCGGGTTCAGGGCTGGGACTTGTCCGAAGAAACCATCGTCAGTGGGTCCTCAGTCAAGACCTTAGTCTCCTCCAAGAAGACCTTCCTCGCCTCCGTCACCGTCGCTGGCAGCTTCTGGGCAGTCAAGGGCATAAGTGGTGTTGACGTTCAAAGACTCTGCCAAGGAGAGGAATTTGAGTCTCTCGACATCATTGGTAAGCATTGCAGCCTCTTGCCTTCAGTATGCAGTTAAAATATTTCTTTTAGAGCACAAATTTGTGAATACAATTTTCCGAAGTATACCCAGAGTCAAAATTTAAATAATGAGTGGACAATAGTGCTACAATAGCAACAATTAGTGTTGATATTAGCTAACACATAATAATTTGGTTTTAGTTTACCAGTTGGTTAATATTGCTTGCAGGTGAAGTGAGGTTGATGGGAGGTGTCAGTGCCGGTGAGGCGCACCTTGGCCACCACCTCATGACAGGTGAGGCGGAACAGACCTACTGGCTTAAGGACTCAAAGGTCGTCCTCAGACACTCCTTCACCTTCCTGAGGTTGCAGGTGCAACATGCCACAGTCAACACCTCGGTGAGATGCGACTATGATCATTACAACTTGCTTAACTGCTTCTTAATGTTTATAATATATAAATTTATCTCAATATTTGAACTTCTTGCCTACAGTTGACTAGACCACACACTAGAAGGTGAAGGGACGATGACGTTTCGGTCCGTCCTGGACCATTCTCAATCGACTTGAGGATGGTCCAGGACGGACCGAAACGTCGTCGTCCCTTCACCTTCTAGTGTGGGGTCTGGTCAACTTACTTTAGCCACGTTATTGTGACTCATCGCCTGCATTCTTGCCTACATTTTGCAAGCCGTTCTCGTACTTATAGACAATATCTTGCTTATGAATAAGTACATATGTGACATACTAATTTATTGTGAATATTTGAGTTTACCTTGAAATGCTGAATAGAAAACCACAACCAAACCTAACCTTCTTAGTATGTTAAGATATTAAAATTAATACCGAAACTTCCTATATTGATATTAGTTTTATACAAATAACTAAAATATTTAAATTGTAAAGTAATTCAGGATATTGTCAAATTTTGTATAAAATCTGTTTAATAAAACTGAGAGGAAAAGTTAGTGCCTTAAAAAAAAAATATGGCTTGGAATATGTCGCGTATATATTTATTTATAAGCGAAATGGTTAGTATAAGCAATAGGTCATATATGTGCAGTCTTGTGCGAGAGCGGGTTGCATTTTCTAAATGACGGAATATATAACGTATATTTTAATAGTTGGAGCTGCCAGACTCTCAATCGGCTTAACTCGTGTATAGGTTTCTAACCCCCCCCCTTCCCCCCCCCCCAAAAAAAAAAACTCTTTAATCCCAGACGGATTGAAAACTCTGCTTTAATTTTTTCAGACGTGTGGGTCGGGTTTCTAATTTTCAGCCCCCGTTATTATGACTTACTGTCTGCCTGGTGTTGATTATAACGCGTTTTCTAAAGAGCTGCATTATATTTGAGGAGAAACTTGCGCATTTTGATATGGTTCCGTTTTCTTGTGTACGTAGCATCCCCTCAGGATTGATTTTTACCAACCTTAACAAACGCTGAACTTGGTAAATAGTGTCGATTATTTAGCAGTTTCAGATGATCTTAGACATATTGAAATAATGGTTTCAATTTGAATTAATGAAATGTTTGTTAGAACTGTAGTGAAGGTATTCAGTGCACGAATTGTGTACAGTAAGATCACTAATATTAAGAGATGGTCTATTAACTACGGTTTCTTCGAATTTCAGAAAAAAATATATATGAGAAATTATTTGAAATTTATACAAAATGGTAAACTTGAATTATATTCATGAGGTCATTAGAGGCAAACAATTTTCCCAGTTTTTGCATGTCTGCGTTCAATCCCCCAATGATCCAAGTAGTTGGATACATTATTCGTTTCTCCTCTCCCAGCTCTTCCACCTTATCCTGACATCCCTGTAAGGTGTTACATATAGTCACTGTGGCCTAGCGCTTTCTTCTGATAATTACTTCGACTTCGTCAGGTGAATAGAGTTGACCTCGGGAAGCTGAGTGCATTTGTGTTAAGGAAGACTTGCCGTGGGTGGCAGGCACTCAGCCAGGGTGCCACCCTGAGGGCACTCACCTCACACACACTCGTCGTCTCCAGAGTTAAGGTGATAGTCTAGAGTGTGTGTACTTTTTGTAATTAACATTGCGACTGTGTTATATGTTAAAGATTCGCTACCTGGAACAAAATTCCAAGTAGCACGGGCTATGGTGAGCCCGTAGTTAGTTTTTTTTATCTAATTTAGTTCACCTTGACTGCGAACCACTTATTCTCATGGAAATGTGGATGGAAATTTATAATTTAATTTAGTTTTTTTTATAATTAGTGTGATACAAAAATATAGGAGTAAATTTGTTAATTAGGGTAATAAATTTTAGGTAAATTTATTACAAGTTTAGTACCGATATATTAAGCAAACCAAGACCGAATTATCTGCAATAATTGTAAATTAAAAGAGTACTGATAATTATATTGTTTTAAATTACGTACAATACTTGGTTTTAGTATAATTAACATACCTTTATGAAATAGACAAGTTCCAGAAAAAAATAATTGTAAATATTCTATTCCTTAGACGAAGATTGTAAATGAGCAGCCAGCAGACGTCTTGAGGGGCATCCTTACCCTGCGTGGCGGTCAGGTCATCTCTGGTCACTTCAGCCTTGGCAGTGTTCATGTCATGGGTGAGTGACATGAACTATTTGCATGTCACCAATGAGCTTTTTTACTAAATTATTTTAACGTAAATAAACAATTTTTTTTGGAGATTGGAAGATGGCTAGATTTTCGTAACTGTTTAAAATAAGAAAATATAATAGTTCCATCTTTAAAGTTTTTATTTATATTTTGTTTGGGTTTAGAAAACTGAATCGTGCTAAAACATTATCATTGATGGTGAATGAAATGTTGCAAATCGTTCCCTTAACCTGGGGCCAGATTCACGAAAGTACTTAGGCAAGTACTTACGAACGTGTACATCTTTCCTTAATCTTTGACGGCTTTGGTTACACTTATTAAACAGTTTACAAGCATGAAAACTTGGCAATCACCTGTTGTTATTGTTATAAACAGCCTCCTGGTGCTTCGGAGCTCATTAACTGTTTAATAATTGTAAACAAAGCCGCCAAAGATTGAGAAAAGATGTACAGGTTCGTAAGTGCTTGCGTAAGTACTTTCGTGAATCTGGCACCTGGGCTGTAGGTGTCTCGAAACATGAACCCTACGCGTGTGAGAGGCCGAAGCTCCATCGACTGGGCTATGACTAGTCATAATAAGGAAATAATTATTTTGTTGCAATTTGCATTTCCGACACTGGCCGGTGCTTGCGACTGGACAAGTGCTTCCATAAATATCTCAAAGAATTTATGGAATCTGGTTACACGGGATTGTGGTCTAGGATTTTTCTTGGCAAAATCACCAAGAAACATTTGCATTTTTTTCTTGTTTGTATATTGGTCTGTCAATCATGCAAACTCGGAGTCCCCATTGAGCTAAATTTATGTAAACTGATTATATTGACATTATTGTAAAGATTTGGTTTTGAGTGTGGAGTTTAAGGATTCATTTTGTCGGGGGACAGGCAGCCTGGGTGTATGTACAAGTTAGGCTAATATCAGTCTCCCCTCCGAGCTAGAAGGATGCAACCCCCACAAGAAGCTCGCTCGCTCCTGGGTACCAATTTACTGCTAGATGAACAGAGACTTTAAGTGATACGACACGTGCCCAACCATTTCCGCCCCGACCGGCGGGATACGAACCCGGAATTACCTAAACTGTGAATGTCTGCGGTTTGTTTTAGTCTCTATACGATGCAATAAAGTCAATGATAGGAATCATTTTAGGCTTCAAAGTACCTCCCTCCCCCTCTCTAGGGCAACTACTGACCTCCAGGATGCACCACAACTGGTGTAAAGAATCCAAGATACCAATTTACTACCTGGTGAACAGCGACATCAGGTGAAAGGAAAGATTGATCAGACGCGTAGGTCCTGCCGCGGGAATTGTACCCCGGACCTCTCGCCAGCGACCCGACAAATCGAGCACCTTTATTGATTTGCATTTCAGCCAGATCCTGTTGCGATGTACTTCTTTATGGTGGCGTTTCAGACCAATTTCTTTGTTTACATTTTCGTTTATGGCCCACAACAGGAAATGTAGCGACTTCAGGACTGGTGAACAGGTTGTACATGGCCCAGTTCTGCCAAGTGAGAAGACCATGCATGGTCCGTGCTTCAAAGACCTTCAGTCAGGACCTCACCATCAGTGGTAACCTGATTGTCTCTGCTGGCAAGTACGTCAGAGATGATGCCACTCTCTCTCTCTCTCTCTACCTCTCTATATCTATCTCTACCTCTCTATATCTATCTCTACCTCTCTATATCTATCTCTACCTCTCTATATCTATCTCTACCTCTCTATATCTATCTCTACCCCTCTCTATCTATCTCTACCTCTCTCTATCTCTACTTCTCTATCTTGATCTCTAACCGGATTGTGACCTACATGGTTAATGTTATAAAATGTTATTAAATTATAAAGGTTGCTTAAAGTTTTTTAATTTTATTAAATATACTGTAAAATATTGACGTATTACATTGATGGTATAAACCGTCATAAATTTAATGTTAAAATATTAGTTGTAAATAAGATTGTTACGATAAATCCTTCTATAGTATTATGATAGTGCTGCAACTAACTGATGATATTGTTAACTACTAGTACTTGTATTGCTGCTAGTTCTACGTCATCGACTAATTCAACGTGTACTATAACTTTTATATACTTAGTGTGACTCTTAATGCTTTTATTACACCAATTAGTGTTACCAATAATGATACTTTTGAATCTACGGCTATTTCTATCACTACTAATTCTGTTATTACTAAATTTGCTTTTATTCTTAATACTATTAATATTATCGGTTGTGCTCAACCTTCCCTGCTGCCGCTTCAGCGTCTGTTTTTTCAGCTATACAGATATATATTATTTTGATGTTACCGATATAAATATTGCTAGCTTACTACGTTATTCTATTTATATATTTTTATACTACTAATTAAGATTTAATTACAATAGTACATCCAGTTAAACCTGATAATTTTTCTCTAATACTTCTGTTAATAATCCTAATTTTCATCTTGATGATCGTTTAGTTTTATTTTTAACTTTATATCAAAGTAAATGAGTTGAGAATTTCTCTCAAATGTGTAATTTAGGGCTCGTTTTCTGTAAGGTTTTGGAAGCACAGACATTTCTATTACTGTTGAAGATACGTGTGTTATTGGTTATCGACAGGACGGTGCAGGGCGTAGACCTGTCAGAGGAGCTGAAGGCGGTGCTGAAGAAGGGAACTTGTGGCCACGTCCCAGGCCTTACCACCTTTACCGGGGATCTAGCTATTGCAGGTCTTGCAAGGTAAGTCTAGACATGATTGTGTACAGGTTAGTTTCTTAGTGTTGTTGTTGTTATAGATTCAGCTTCTCAGAACCAGTTCAAAGTAGCCTGGGCTTATGTTGACCAGACCACACACTAGAAGGTGAAGGGACGACGAAGTTTAGGTCCGTCCTGGACCATTCTCAAGTCGATTGTGACTTGAGAATGGTCAAGTCGACTCACAATCGACTTGAGAATGGTCCAGGACGGACCGAAACGTCGTCGTCCCTTCACCTTCTAGTGTGTGGTCTGGTCAACATACTTTAGCCTCGTTATTGTGACTCATCACCAGCACGGGCTTGTGGTGAGCCCGTAGTGGACTTACCTGGCACAGGAGCGGTGCCTTGTTCTTCGGGTTAAGCGTCTGTCATACTGTAGTGAGATGCAACATTAGGTGTACCTAATCTTTAGTAGGATTTAGACTTCTTGCTAAGTTATCGGTCTTATTGGTGTCGCCTCTAATGACCTTGTTACCGTTAAAGGGGGCTGTTCGCTTCCTGCCCAGTTAATCGGAAACTTGCCACTTCAGTTTCTACCTTGTCGTTCATTAACGCAATCCACAGCCGTTCCCGGTAGTTACTAACGACACAATTAACTGTTGGCCAATGATGAATCAGAGTTAAGAACATAAGAACAAAGGCAACTGCAGAAGGCCTGTTGGCCCATACGAGGCAGCTCCTATTTATAACCACCCAATCCCACTCATATACTTGTCCAACCCGCGCTTGAAACAATCGAGAGACCCCACCTCCACAATGTTACGTGGCAATTGGTTCCACAAATCAACAACCTGTTACTGAACCAGTATTTACCCAAGTCTTTCCTAAATCTAAACTTATCCAACCTACACCCATCGTTTCGTGTTCCGTCTTGTGTTGATACTTCCAACACCCCATCAACATCCCCTTTGCTATGTCCATCCACCCACCTGCAAACCTCTATCATGTCACCCCCTAACTCTTCGCCTTTCCAGTGAATGCAAAGGCGGCTAAAAATATTTATATTCGATGGCTGGGTTGATTCCCCTTTTTTACTTTTAATTGTCGATACATTTCATTATCAGGAGACTGTTTACATAAAAGTATACTTATAAAGTTTGAGAGTTTCATTAGGTGTAAGATTTCTAAAGGCATTTAATTTACAGAAGCGATTTTTGTAATCGTAATTAGAGGCAGAGGTTTTTTTCAATTTTGATTTTTTTTAATAAAGGGTACATGGACTAGTAGATGATGTGAAGATGACCCTGAAGCACCTGGTGACCCGGAGTGACCCTCAGACTATGACTGCCCAGTTTATAATACACGCTCAAGGTAAGCTGTTGTATCTGAAAATTGACTTCAAGAAATCCTGGCGTTCAATGTACTGTTATTTTAATTCTATTGCTTGAGAAAGCTAAATTTGACAAATTTCAGGGATAGCTGTTATAGCTGGGAGCATAGACGCTTCAGATGGGCTGTTCAACAAGATGAACTTGACACTCCTGTGGACCAACGCGGTAAGTAATCGTCTAAAGAAGGGTTTGATTAGTGTTACACAGCATACAAAATTGAACCAACACACACACACACACACACACACACACACACACACACACACACACACACACACACACACACACACACACACACACACACACACACACAGAGCAAAACAGAACTAGGTTTCACGCAAATTAAGGAAAGTTTCTCCTGTTTCTAAAATGTTTTCTAGTTGATGTACTGTGTGTGTGTGCTCTCCTAGTTGTGCTTGCGGGGGTTTAGCTCTGGCTCTTTGGTCCCGCCTCTTAACTGTCAATCAACTAGTGATTGTGTGTTTATATTTACTATTTGTGCCTGCAGGATCGAACTATTAGCTCCTGGACTCAGCCTATCTAACCAATTTATTTTTCCTCTATCTACTACACATATATTCATCTCTACCAGTGTGTGTGTGAGAGATTTCCGAACAGACGGGCTGTTGAAATACACAAAATTTTGTGTAACAGGAAAATTGTATTATCCACTAATATAATCCGACTATAGACAGACTTTTAAGTATTTTCATGGAATTGATGAATGTGAAATGAACGCATCTTTCCCTTTCTCTTATTAAAGTTTCGTGAGGGGCTCGTGACTATAGTGAGGTCACCGGTGACGTTCCTTAGCGCTGTGGTGATGTTGAACGCTTCCTACGGCACAGGTCACCAGTCTCTGAACACGTCCCTTCTCACCAGCCATGACTGGAGAAGAATTCACCAAGACTTCACCTCTCTTTATCACCTCGGCGTTGCCAGTCAATGCACAATCAACAGTAAGGCCTGTGCAATTTTTACTTTCGACAACTGGTACATAACCTTCCCAGTTTGGTGCCTTTTTGATAATTACTTCCGACAACTGGGAGAGTTACATAGAAATGTAACTGGATTGGATGGGATTGAACTTAAAACCGATTCATCAATTGACTTTAGATGCCATCTAAAAATTACTAGATTATATTAGGAATTAGATTCCATCTAATAACCTGATTCTATCAGTTGTACGTTAACCATTTTGTGAATATTGCCTAGAAGGAAGGTAATTATCAGGGGAAAAGCGCCAAGTCATTACGACTACATAGCACTTGGAACGGGGTCAGGATAAGGATTTGGGATGGGACGGGAGGGAAGAGAATGGTACCACTTGTGGACGGTCTGGGATTGAACGCCGACCTGCATGAAGCGAGACCGTCCCTCCACCGTCCATCCCAAATGGAACGATTACAGGATTAGAAATCTAGTTAAGTAAAGCCATACGATACTGTACCAGATTGGGGGCCCTACGATAGTGTACCAGATTGGGGGCCCTACGATAGTGTACCAGATTGGGGGCCCTACGATAGTGTACCAGATTGGGGGCCCTACGATAGTGTACCAGATTGGGGGCCCTACGATAGTGTACCAGATTGGGGGCCCTACGATAGTGTACCAGATTGGGGGCCCTACGATAGTGTACCAGATTGGGGGCCCTACGATAGTGTACCAGATTGGGGGCCCTACGATAGTGTACCAGATTGGGGGCCCTACGATAGTGTACCAGATTGGGGGCCCTACGATAGTGTACCAGATTGGGGGCCCTACGATAGTGTACCAGATTGGGGGCCCTACGATAGTGTACCAGATTGGGGGCCCTACGATAGTGTACCAGATTGGGGGCCCTACGATAGTGTACCAGATTGGGGGCCCTACGATAGTGTACCAGATTGGGGGCCCTACGATAGTGTACCAGATTGGGGGCCCTACGATAGTGTACCAGATTGGGGGCCCTACGATAGTGTACCAGATTGGGGGCCCTACGATACTGTACCAGATTGGGGGCCCTACGATACTGTACCAGATTGGGGGCCCTACGATACTGTACCAGATTGGGGGCCCTACGATAGTGTACCAGATTGGGGGCCCTACGATACTGTACCAGATTGGGGCAGTATCATCATGGTGCGAACGACTAGTCACAATAACGTGGCTGAAGATATGACTTCCAAATCACACATCAGAAAAGGACAAAACGACGAAGTTTCAGTCCATCCCAGACCATAATTAAGTCGTGTAATAGACTTGATAATGGTTCGGGAGAATGACCGAAACATCGGAGTTTCTTCATTTTCTGACGTGTGATTTGGTCATCAGTCTCGTGGTATTGGAGGGAATGTCTTAGATAGAGACATTATTATATAACAGTAAATAGTATTAGGATAAATATGTTGGTGAATAACTGTTTGAGGTGGATTGTCTTGGAGGGTCTTGGGAACGCTGGCTATTTACAGCATCTGTTAATGACTCGTACATAACATGAACAAAATTGCTTGATGACACTAGTTTAAAATGAACAAAAAAAGGACGAGGACAAACTAGCAAGATGATGGGACTTAAACGAAAGATTTGCAACTGCAATTTAATGCTGACAAGTGTAGGATTGTCTCATTCGAGTGGTGTAATCAGTGTTCGTCCTATCCCCTTTCAAAGCCATATTTATAGCCAACACCTTGACTCCTGTGCACTGAAATGCAGTTTATGATTGTGCTTCACATCAGCACAGAATCAAAACCACATTTCTTATGAGCTCGTAGATCATCTACGGGCTCACCATAGCCCGTGTTACTTGGAACTTTTTGTTCCAGGTAGCGAATCTTTAACAACAACAACAACATTATTATGAGCTCATAACAAGTTTGTTGTTTATTTGCAGACACAGTTCACGAGTTGTGGGGCTGGAGAAGTGTGCAGAGATTTGCTGGAACGACAAAACGTATCGTCCCTTTGAGGCTGGACTGGGAGAAGGGTATGGCCTCGTGCCCCCGGTACCTGGTCGTCATACCCAGATCAGGTGACGCCAGGATTCTGACGTATAGTCCCGCCGACGACCACTACCACGACAGAGGTGCGACGTTGAACTTCATTTGGGGAGGGAGTCTTGGTGGATAACTTTATTGTTTACAATGTTGGTAGTTATCTTGAACCATTCTCAAGTCAAGTCCAGGACGGACCAAAACGTCGTCGTCCCTTCAACTTCTAGTGTGTGGTCTGGTCAACATACTTCAGCCACGTTATTGTGACTCATCGCCTGCATTTGGTAGTTATCTTATTCTGTAGCTTGGGGGTGATCTGAGGCCCGTTAATCACAAACTGGGTTATCACCCGTATGCAGGCGATGAGTCACAGTAACGTGGCTAATGTTGACCAGACCACACACTAGAAGGTGAAGGGACGACGACGTTTCGGTCCGTCCTGGACCATTCTCAAGTCGATTGTGGGTTATCACCCCTTCCGTCCCACGCTAGCAGCTTCCAGTTCACTTTCTCCGGTCATATTCAAGTTTACATTTGTTATATTTAGTAATTAAAGTATAATTTGAACTTGTTCAGTATATAGGCTTAAAATCACAATGAAATACCCAAGTTTTGGGAGTCCGGAGATGAATCTACCATTCCCATAATATTTTCTCAGAAACCTGTATTTTTATTGAACAACACATTGAACATTATGAACTGCGTAACTTCTGGCAGTAGAGTGAATGATTTTGTATGGCAGACACTGTGGATAGTCACGGTAATGATTTTTAAAATGACGGTATTGGCGATAGCCGGGGTGGATAGTAGCTATGGTGGATGGTAGCTGTGGATAGGCTGAAGATCTAGCCTTGACCCTCTTCCTCCCTCAGGTATAGTGCTGGCCGGAGTGTGCTTCAGGAAAGTGGTGGGGTACAGTGCCCGAGGGCAGGACTATGTTGTCTCCGCCCACGCTTGCTACCACCACGACGCCCACACCAACCACGACGCCGCCCACGACCCCGCCCACGGCAACCAGTCCACATCTTACATGCCTCAGGTGAAGAATCTCGTCATTGAATCGAACATTTACCGAGGAATGTCATTGTGAAAGTTTATTTGTTATAATGTTGTGTAGTGATAAGACCCGGGTCTTCGTAGGTGTCGGAGAGGAGCCAGTGGGTGACGGTGTGGAGGCTGGGTCCCAGGGGCGCTCGTCTGCTTCATCAAATCCCTTCTCCTGGAGCTGTTGATATACAGGTGAGACGTGACCGCTGCATCGTTGATTGTTGCTGCCGGAGGCGACTATAGTTTATTGTGCTCGTTAGGTTCATCCTGTGAGCGGTAGCGCAAAAAGGATAAGGCGAGCAAAAAAAAGTTTTAATCAAACTTTTTTAACCTCTGTAATCCTTTTTTCATTCTTTAAAAGCTGCGGATATTTTTTTTACATCTAAAATTTCACATGAAAAAATAACGTATAGTAACGAGTACTGCAACACGTTGTCAAGTTTCCTGAACTTGTTCCTTCAAATACTTGTATCGTCGTTGATTGACCGTTTGTTAGTAAACCTTAAAGTTTGTTTATGTAAGCTCTTAAGAGTATAGAATTGGTGTCAATGTTGCAGACAATTGCTATAGTTTTTAATTAGGGGAACTACATAGTTGCATAGTTAGGGATGCAAGTCTTCAGACACTGCACGGGTATGCGAGACAATCTCGAGTTTCTTAAGTTATCAAATATCTCTTTTCCTTGGCGCTTCTCAAAGTGGTGTTACATTGTTACTATTAAGTTTTTATAAATTTAAATTTTTTGTCTTGTACAAATTAAAGAGGCTATTGTTAATAGTCGCAGAAGGAAAATCAAAATCTTAATGTTAATTGATGTAAATGTTAAGTTTCTTTTATCAACTGTTCTTCCCATGGTAGATTTAGCGATGGTAGATTTAATCTACCATCACTGTTGGGTGATGGTAGATTGACACTAATACACATGTTTAAGTCATCAACATCTGTAGGAGACAAGTGTGGTGGATGTGAATTAGCAAATAAATACTTGTCAATTAACTATTTTTTAGCTATTAAATCGGTCGACCCCATGTCCGCAAGGACTCCTAACATTGGCATTCGTGGTAGATAATCTACCAGTGTCTATTAAATACCGATAGATAGAATATCTTGCACTGTACCTTACCCGCGATAATGTGTTATCTGGGCGCATTCTGGGGTGTTATCCTTCACCAGGTGGTTTAATTGTCCCTCGATAGAATTCTTGGCGAATCGGACACTTTTGATATCATTTGCCTTACGCGTTTCTGTTATCATATTGGCAATGGTGGTGATATTTAGCGCCCTTTGGTTATCCCGCACATTTGATGGCGCTACATAGCCTTCCCGGCTTGGTGCCTTCTTTTGATGATTACTTACTCCGTCAGGTGGTTCGTCTACGGAACGAGATCTGCCTGGTGGTGGTTGAGGCCAAGGGTGTGGACACTGTAGTGGTGTGTGAACACCGCCCTAACACCTTCCACCTACTCCAGCGCCTGCCCTCGGCTGACCCACAGAAGGTAAAGTCTTAGAACCTGCAGGCGGCGATACTGTGTGTGTGTGTGTGTGTGTGTGTGTGTGTGTGTGTGTGTGTGTGTGAGAGAAAACAATGGGTATAAATTGGATAAGTTTAGATTTAGGAAAGACTTGGGTAAATACTGGTTCGGTTAACAGGGTTGTTGATTTGTAGAACCAATTACCATGTAACATGATAGAAGTAGGATCCCTTGATTGTTTCAAGCGTAGGTTAGACGTCTATATGAATGAGATTGGGTGGATATAAATGGGAGCTTATATGGGTGAATATAAATAGCTTACTTGGAGAGATATAAATAAGAGCCTATGGGCCAATAGGCCTTCTGCAGTTACCGTCATTCCTGTATTTCTATTCAACCATTTCCTTCTCAATTTTGGTGGATATAAAAATATTTTGGATATATTTTGGGGGATATAAATAGCTTAGATATAAATAATATATAATTATAATAAATAATATATAATTAATATATAATAAGATATAATTAGATATAATAGGATATAAATAGGCCTTCTGCAGCTACCTTCATTCTTAAGTTCATTTATCAATACTGGACGTTGTGCCTTCTGCAGGTATCAGTGGTGCAGCAGTACGACCCCAGTGGGAGACGCGGGACCTTCCTGGTGGTGGCTGCCAGAGGAATCTCTCCTCAACACACAAGTTCCTTCTTCGTCTGGCGTTACGACGCCGAGGAAGCCGCCTTCTCTCTCCTACAGGTAAAGGTTATGTGCAGACGAGGAGTCACAATAACGTGGCTGAAGTATGATGACCAGACCACACACTAGAAAGTGAAGGGACGACGACGTTTCGGTCCGTCTTGGACCATTCTCAAGTTACAATCGACTTGAGAATGGTCCAAGACGGACCGAAACGTCGTAGTCTCTTCACTTTCTAGTGTGTGATTTGGTCGACAAAGGTTATATTCTCAGACTTAATTAGGAGCCTATGGGCCAGTAATTAAGCTGACCCTTCTGAATATGTATTGTTAGATACGAAAGTACTTAAGGAAATTCTTGTTTAAATTCTTCTTTCGTGGTCTGACACCGTCACATTTTTCATCACGTTAATTTTCGTGATTTACACATATTGACCTAATTATATATTAGGTACGTTCATGACGTGATAAGGACATAAGAACAAAGGTAACTGCAGAAGGCCTATTGGCCCATACGAGGCAGCTCCTATCTATAAGCACCCAATCCCACTCATATACATGTCCAACCAACGCTTGAAACACTAAAGAACTAAAGTAACTTCCTCCATACCATCTCATAATTTTAATCTTCGAAGCAGAGCGCCCAATGTTTGCTGACATGATTTTTTTTCAGATTTCTAATTCATATTAAATTTAGTTCTTGCATTTTTTCTTAAGCGATGTAGCCATTTTTTTTTTACATAACTTTTTGTTTGTTTTAAAGACAACCTGACATTGGAAAGGCTTAACCCGCCAAACACACACCGAAACTACGACGTTGGTACAACGTTCGAACAAGTTTTAACAACACCCTAACCAGTTATAACAACCAATATAGCAAGTTGTAACAACGTTCTAATACGTCATAAACACGTTAAGCCAAGATGTAACAACTTTATTACTAGTTATAACAAGCGGAAAATAGACAGTTTCTGTTTGTGTTTCCAGGGAAGTGTCAGTTTTGACTTTGATATAATTATTAGTTGTGTGAGGAATTCAATTTACAATGTTGCTTCTTTAGAGGGTGTCCTTCGACAACGTGGAGTGGGTAGACTTAACTACCCACGAAGGCGATCTCTATTTGGCGGTGGTGTCAAAGGGCTTCAGGGGTGAGAAATACGGAGAAGTGGATATCTACAGGTGAGTCTTGGCTGCGTCAGGCTCAGCGTCTAGACGCAAATTGCCAAATTGTGTAATAATTCCCATTTCACTTGATGGAAGTAGTATGCAAAATTGTCTATTAGAAGACTGGTGGGGATATTATTATTGTGCAATGGTAGTTAACTATGGCTAGACAAAGTGTGCAAATACTAGATTGCATTTAAAATTGTTGGCACTGGAAAGATCTGTTGGCAAGTAACTTTACCTTTTCATTAACCGTCTGTAGGATGGATTGGCACAGTGAAGATGGTGCCAGGTCCCAGAGCCATCATGGCGCCACCTCTGACAAGATGGAAGCTAACGCAGGCGACTCCAGCTTCCTCCTGCAGCAACGGTTTGTGGTGAAGGGGCCTCTCGAGGCTCACTTCGTCAGTATTCCTGCAGGCAACCTGTACCTGCACGTCATCAGTCGGGATGGACGAGTCTCCCGGTTCATCAAGAAAGGCATACACAGGCGAGTGTTTGTTACCGCAGATGTACGGCAGCAGGTTAAAATGTATAGATAACTCTTCATATGTTGTTAAATATGACCGAAAAAGTAAGATTAATAATTCTAACACGAATTTTCTCTTATTTCTTTTTACTGTTGATGGTAATTGAAAAATCAGTTCTCCAAAGTTCATTTTTATTTCTAGTCTGACGCGACGCTTGAACACATTTCGTAATAACGTATTACATTTTCAAAGACTTTAGTTTGAAAAGTTTGTTCATATTTAACAACATATGTTTACAAGACTGCTACTAAAATATACTAATAACTATTCATGTATAGATATATATAGTTATGTAGATAACTCAGGCCTGGCCTCGGGCTGGGCTTGGAGAGTAGAGCTCCCAGAACCCCATCAAGCAGGTAACTATTTGTGTAAATTCTTAATTTTAATCCGAAAAGTCAGTATGTTTGACCTTCACTTTAAGACAGATTTGCCTGGTTGTCTTTGATAAGATGGACTTGCGGGGAATTTTCCTGCATGTAAAGTGCTGACACATGCAATGCTTGTTCAGTTTCCCAAAAGTTATCAAAGATATTCATGCCAGAATCATTGTCCAGAATAGATAAAAATTTGAGTATTTTCGTATTACTCTTGAGTTTATTTTAAGACTCGCTTCCCCCTTCCCCCCCCCCCAGTTCCTGTTCCCACTTACATAGATAACATTCACAGTTCCTTTACGAGTTTCTGAAGCTTTTTTTTGTCTCGTCCTTATTCTAAAAGTTCCTCTTCCTGAAGTTTGTGTTAAAGAAGTAAGATGTTCTTTCCAGTATAAAGTCCAACCACGTGTGACTGGACGGTAGAGCGACGGTCTCGCTTCATGCAGGTCGACGTTCAATCCCCGACCGTCAAAGTGGTTGGCCCACCATTCCTTCCCTCCCCTGTCCCATTCCCAAATCCTTATTCTGATCCCTTCCCAGTGCTATATAGTCATAATGGCTTGGGGCTTTACTCCCCTGATAGTTCCCTTCCAGTTTATAAAGTACCTTGGTTTCCACCCTTGCTTTTACGGGCTTTTCATGCCCGTGCCACCTCTTGGGTGGCTTAATCTTCATCAATCACCCTTGCTTATTGTAGGGAGACATCTCCCGTCACGCAGGGTGCAGTCGCACCTCCACAGATCTCCGGTATCATCTATTGATACTGGTAATGGCTGAAAAGGGCCACCACTTACGGGCTATTCATGCCCGTGCCACCTTTTGGGTGGCTTAATCTTCGTCAATCAATTGCTTATTGTGGCCTTAGTTACCGTTGACCAATAAATAATAACGCTCACCCTAGTAACCCTCCCGAGGCTGATGGTCCTTAACACCACCCCACATCCCATCCCCTAACATGCCAAACCCATCAGTACACCTGTAGTAACCGTGGGGTTGACTCCCTGCTGCAGATTCCAGATGGAAGGGGAGTTACACTTCCCTGGGAAGCAGACTATGGAGGCGTGGGTGTGTGGAGCCCGCGGGAGGTTCACCTACAGGATCTCCCTCGCTGGGAACCTGTGTAGTGAACAGGACGAGACCAACGAGGAACATGCAGAGGTCCTCGAAGTGAACTTCAGACCGTGATTCTCGACTGGATGTTCTGAAGGCCGTGTTTGGTAGGCAACTCTTCAAGCCAGACCTTCATAGCTCATTGAAAATTTAGAGAAGTTGACAATTAGCGCCTCTGAGAGAGATTTTGATAAATTGGATATATTTAAAGTCTTGAATATTGTAAAATAATTGAACAGTAGTTGTTTTACAGACAAAATGAAGAGAATGATGTTAGTATTTTGCAAATACAGCGTTTTTGACGTGTTGGCTGCCATCCAGTATAAATAGGCGCCGTGTTCCACTGGCTGCTTTCACCAGTGTTTAACACGTGTTAATAAGTACACCATTGGTGTTATTGTAAGTCGTGTATTGTACTGTTGCCAATCGTGATAATTCTTCTATAGCATTGATCGACCATTTTATTACTAAATTATATTTACTCCTATATAATGATTTACACGAGATTAATATATTTATATAAGCATTTATATGATTTTTATTAAATCCTGTAATGGTTTTGATTCATATAGGTTAAGCAGATGTTCTAGAGTTAAACAAAATTGGTTTAAAACTTTTAAAAATGACTTGTTTACCCATCTAGACTTTAAGAAATCTATTCCTTCCCCCAGGAGATAAAAAAAAAGTATAATAAATTCCCATCTAGACTATTTCAGACTTTAATCCAAAACATGTGTAAATGGGAACTGCTTATACTTTCTCTCTCGGGGGTGGAATATATATATATATATTTTTTCACAGCAATTACTGCAAAGAATTTTCTTAATATTTACCTGTGCTTTATTATGAATAGGTATATAAAGATTCCATGTTTCAGGCAGAAAAAAATATTTACAGCATCGGTGTGGGTCATTCCCTTCAAAGCGGCCTAGATCAGCGAGTTTGGGTAAGGGGGGGGGGGGAAGGGGGGGTGATTGGCACTGTCTCCCACAACAGAAGGCACTGAGGCTGTTAGCGTGTACTGTCGCTAGTGCCAGACTAGAGCACCAAATATCATTATTTTAGGGATAATTCCTCCGGCTTTTCCAAGAAATCATTCGGCCGTAATAAAGTGATCAGAGAAGACCATCTGGACAGTTGTCTCAGTATGTAGTAAAGTCATGGTCCCCCCAATCAAGGTCTTCAGCCTGTGTGTGTACTCACCTAATTGTGCTTGCGGGGGTTGAGCTTTGGCTCTTTGGCCCGCCTCTCAACCGTCAATCAACAGGTGTACAGATTCCTGAGCCTATTGGGCTCTATCATATCTACACTTGAAACTGTGTATGGAGTCAGCCTCCACCACATCACTTCCTAATGCATTACACTAAAAAAGTTCTTTCTAATATCTCTGTGGCTCATTTGGGCACTCAGTTTCCACCTGTGTCCCCTTGTGCGTGTTCCCCTTGTGTTAAATAGACTGTCTTTATCTACCCTATCAATTCCCTTCATAATCTTGAATGTGGTGATCATGTCCCCCCTAACTCGTCTGTCTTCCAGCGAAGTGAGGTTTAATTCCCGTAGTCTCTTCTCGTAGCTCATACCTCTCAGCTCGGGTACTAGTCTGGTGGCAAACCTTTGAACCTTTTCCAGTTTAGTCTTATCCTTGACTAGATATGGACTCCATACTGGGGCTGCATACTCCAGGATTGGCGTGACATATGAGGTATACAAAGTCCTGAATGATTCTTTACACAAGTTTCTGAATGCCGTTCGTATGTTGGCCAGCCTGGCATATGCCGCTGATGTTATCCGCTTGATATGTGCTGCAGGAGACAGGTCTGGCGTGATATCAACCCCCAAGTCTTTTTCCTTCTCTGACTCCTGAAGCATTTCCTCTCCCAGATGATACCTTGTATCTGGCCTCCTGCTCCCTACACCTATCTTCATTACATTACATTTGGTTGGGTTAAACTCTAACAACCATTTGTTCGACCATTCCTTCAGCTTGTCTAGGTCTTCTTGAAGCCTCAAACAGTCCTCTTCTGTTTTAATCCTTCTCATAATTTTAGCATCGTCCGCAAACATTGAGAGAAGTGTGTGTGTGTGTGTGTGTGTGTGTGTGTGTGTGTGTGTGTACACACCAGAAAACCATCCACCGCCAGTAGAACATCAACATCCTCCATAAAAGGTGTATTAAAACATGTATAATACCCAGCCTACATAAATGTACCCGGTATTAATATTTTGCTGGCACATGAAATTCATTGAAAATTGCTTAATAAGTCATAAATATATACTGTTCATACAGGCGACACTTAATAGCTAATTGACAAATAAATGGGGATAACATTATTGGGTCTTGACTGATTTGGTCAGTTCCATTCCTGGGCAAGGAGAAGCTTTGGCCAAGCTAACTTAAACCTTGCAAATAAAGGGATATATATCCTGAAGTTTAGTTAACTGTTGTGGGTCGCATTCTAGATGGAGCTCGATCAGCTAAACTAGCTTTCGGTCCCTGACAGGGGAATCAAAGCCCACTCTACATGTGGGTCAAGGAGCAGCTCGACGAGCCAGTGCATTTAAGATGGAGCAGACATTGCATCCAGATTAACATTGACCTCACTGGTAACAAGAAACATGTCTGTTCCTGTTCTCAACACACTGATTGGAAGTTCCTGCAGCATATCACTATATTTAATGTGTTATATAAGAGTTTAAAAGGTTCCAAATTGTATCTTAAGGTTCTCCTCTCAAGATCAAGTAATTATCAAAGGAACAGACATGACTGTAGCAGTCTCTTGGAAGATGTTCAACAGGCGATATCACTCAAGATGTCAATACTAGAGAACAGGACCCAAGGCGAAGGATATCAAAAGTATCCGATTCACTGAGATTTCTAACGAGACAAATGAACCCTCGCGTCAGTAGGAAAATAAGACAAATGATCATTCCTGAAAATTGGGGTAATAGGAGGTTTTAGACTGTAATTGGGACAACACTGTTTTGCACAAGGGAGCAGGAGGGCGTTTCATTACCCATGAGTCGCCAATCCGTCTTCATATTAGAACGTCGTATTTTGACGTATACTCTACTTAAGGCCAAATATTGTCGTACTAGAAAATAGAAGCGGTTGACTGACGTACTGTCCCGTTTTCTGTTTTGGGTCCTCTGGTAGGTTGGGATAAGGGCATTTTAGCACGACAGTTTGACATTTGTTCACTAATTATCAAAAGAAGGCGCCAAGCCGCATGATAATACGTTATGAGCTCTGTATTAACCTAGTTGTGCTTGCGGGGATTGAGCTCTGGCGCTTTGGTCCCGCCTCTCAACCGTAAATCTACTGGTGTACAGATTCCTGAGGTTCTCGAGCTCCAGCATATCTACATTTGAAACTGTGTATGGGGTATGTGTGTGTATGGTCTCTTGTGTATGACCCTCTGTCCTGTGTGGCGGTGAATACAAGCATCATCCTCACTCTAATAAGACCTAATTGAATTACTCGGATTAGGCAAAATTGTAATTATCAATAAAGGTGTAATCAATAATCAGTGATTGGAACAGACACGTCTCACTATATTCACTCCCCCCCCTTTTTTTTACCCTCTCCAACGTGAGTTATAATTTTTTTACACAAAGTTACATAAAACTTCATGTTTAGAAAACATTTCTTCAGCTTTTACAAATACACAAGCTGATGCCAACCCGTAAATTTACAGGCCAAGTGCGTGCTATTACCCTAATGAAAAATTTAATTAAAATTTTAATTTAATGAAAAATTTGATATTCATATTTATGCCGCTGTGTGTCATCAGGCTAGTGGAGTTTGCAATATGCTTCGTCTTGAATTATTAGTGCAGCTATTTTTTCCACTGCACAGAGCAAAGTGTTGCATGTTGAAATGTGATGTGGAGTGGTTCTTTGAAATACAATGTTTCTTCTTTGTGTGGAAACAGTGTGTTTATAATTTAAATTTTCCTCCGTGCTCTTCAATCCTCTGTGTTAAAGGTCTGTTGGACAGCATGCATGCATATATATATATATATATATGTCGTACCTAGGAGCCAGAACGCACTTCTCAGCCTACTATGCAAGGCCCGATTTGCCTAATAAGCCAAGTTATCCTGAATTAATATATTTTCTCTAATTTTTTTCTTATGAAATGATAAAGCTACCCATTTCATTATGTATGTCAATTTTTTTATTGGAGTTAAAATTAACGTAGATATATGACCGAACCTAACCAACCCTACCTAACCTAACCTAACCTAACCTAACCTAACCTATCTTTATAGGTTAGGTTAAGTTAGGTTTGGTTAGGTAGTCGAAAAAACATTAATTCATGAAAACTTGGCTTATTAGGCAAATCGGGCCTTGCATAGTAGGCTGAGAAGTGCGTTCTGGCTACTAGGTACGATATATATATATATATATATTATATATATATATATATTATATATATATATTATATTATATATATATATATATATATATATATATATATATATATATCGTACCTAGTAGCCAGAACGCACTTCTCAGCCTACTATGCAAGGCCCGATTTGCCTAATAAGCCAAGTTTTCATGAATTAATGTTTTTTCGACTACCTAACCAAACCTAACTTAACCTAACCTATAAAGATAGGTTAGGTTAGGTTAGGTTAGGTAGGGTTGGTTAGGTTCGGTCATATATCTACGTTAATTTTAACTCCAATAAAAAAAATTGACATACATAATGAAATGGGTAGCTTTATCATTTCATAAGAAAAAAATTAGAGAAAATATATTAATTCAGGATAACTTGGCTTATTAGGCAAATCGGGCCTTGCATAGTAGGCTGAGAAGTGCGTTCTGGCTACTAGGTACGATATATATATATATATATATATATATATATATATATATATATATATATATATATATATATATATATATAAAATATACACACACACATTAGTGTAGTGGGTTATGAAAAATATATATAGTGAATTAAATTATATAGTTAGAAATTATATAGTGAAACCTTAACCAAAGGAAGAAAAGGAGAGTCTCTCTAAGTTTTCGGCAACGTTATCTTGAGATGATTTCGGGGCTTAGCGTCCTCGCGGCCCGGTCCTCGACCAGGCCTCCTATTTTGTTACACATCCCCAGGAAGCAGCCCGTAGCAGCTGTCTAACTCCCAGGTACCTATTTACTGCTAGGTGAAAAGGTGGATTAGGGTGAAAAACTCTTCCTCCTTGGTTTCCGCCTCCAACGGGGATCGAACCTCAGGACTACGAATACCGAGCGCTGTCCACTCACCCGTCAGGCCCCAGGCCGGTAGCCATTGAATACATATATATATATATATTCTTAAACATGTTTCTTTTACACTGTTGCTCCTTTTTTCCGCGTTTAAACAAAATACAAAAATATACAATTCACGTAGATATATATACACATTATACTTAATACTCTCAGTATATTTTAGTCCTTGACTAAAGTATACTTACTGGTTGGTTAATAGGCCTTAATCACCCTACTATGGCTGATAGGCCTAAAACTGAACACCA